AGCTAAGACTAGTACAGTTGTCATGGCTTTCTTGAGGCTCTCAATTGCTGCGGCGGTCGCCTCTCCCCATAAGAACCCATATTTTTTTAAGTGCTCTGTCAGTGGCCATGCTATAATGCTGTACCTTTTTACAAACCTCCTGTAATATCCCAGTCAGTCCTAAGAATCCTCTCAATTCCTTCAGATTCTTAGGTAAGGGCCACCTCAACATAGCTGTAATCTTCGACTGATTGGCCGCTACCCCTTCTTTGGACATAATATGACTCAAATATTCCACAATGGTCTGTGCAAAACATTACTTCTTCAGGTTGGCTCTCAGCTGATGTTCTTGTAGGACTCCCAACACCATCTTGAAGTGCTCCAGATGTTCCTCCTTAGTTTCGCTATACACTAGTATGTTATCAAAACATACTAGAACAAACTTCCGGAGGTACTTCCTGAACACCCTATTTATCAACGACTGGAATGTAACAGGGGCATTGGTAAGCTCAAGTGGCATTATCAAACACTCATATTGCCCCTCGTGTGTCTTGAAAGTTGTCTTTGAGATGTGTACCTCCCTTATGCTGATCTGATGGTACTCATACTTTATATTCAGCTTTGAGAATATCACTGCTCCATACAGTTCATCTAAGAGCTCATCAATCACCGGAATAGGGAACTTATCCAACACTGTCCCCTTGTTCAAAGCTCTATAGTCCACACAAAACCGCTAGCTTTCATCCTTCTTCTTGATTAGAAGGATTGGACTAGAGAAATGACTCACACTCGGCCTGATGATTCCAACCTCCAGCATCTCACGAATCAGCTTCTCAATTTCATCCTTCTGAGATTAAGGAGATCAGTAGGGCCTGGCGCTGATGGGCAACACCCCTTTCCTCAAGACGATGACATGCTCCTGCTCCCTCGGTGGTGGCAATCCCTGAGGTGGCAGAAACACCTCCTAGAATTGCTGAATCAGCGGCTGTAGAGAGAGGGGTATGTCCCCTCCCTCTTCCAATCTAGCTCCCTCCAAATTGTGTAGATCCACCAAATATCTTCCACCCACCAACTGTGTATTCCTCATCATGGTTTTAAGAGAAACCATTGATTTGGATAGCCCTGCATCTCCTTTGATCACCACATTCCTTTCATCCACCATCAACTCCATCGTGAGTGCTCCCCAATTAATCTTGGTGTCTCCTAAGGTTTGCAGTCACTTCATCCCAAGGATGAAATCTGTACTCCTTAACTCCAACGGAAGAAAATCTTCCCTCACCTGAATCGCTTGGATAGTTAGTAGCACTCATCTATAGATCCCCTGGCATTTCTCCGCTTTCCACATACCCTTCATCTCCCCATAACAACCGGTATTCACCAATTTCACTCCCAATTGGTCGATGACCTAAGTGGAAATGAAATTGTGGGTTGCGCCACTATCAATTAGCACCACCACCTCCCTGTCCTTTATCCCCCCTTCACGTTCATGGTATGATTTGTAGTGAATCCTACCACCGAGTTCAGGGAAACATCGGCTAGATCCAAATACAGCTTCTCATCCATCTCATCCTCTAAATCCCCCTCACCTCCCTCAGTTTCCTTGTCATCACAGACGGTGAGAACCTGAAAAGTTTTTTCCTTGCATCGATGGCCTGGCATATACTTTTCATCACACCTGAAACACAACCCTTTGCCCTCTTCTCCTGCATCTCCTTCTTTGTCAGCCTCTTGAAATTTTCAGCACTCCCTCCTACTGCCTTCTCATTAGTGGTCTCCCAACTTCCTCCTGTTGCAGGACCTTTAGGTGCTAGATGGGTGGTCTTCATCCTGTAAGTGCCTCCAGTGCTGTTACTTTTGGCTCCCCTCTTTAGATTCCTCTGATTTTCAATTAGCTGTGCCAACTTCATGGCCTCCCCCAAGTCACGAGGCATCAAAACTTTCACTGCCGCTCAAATCTCTACCTTCAACCCCTTCATGAAGTTCCCCTCCAATACAGTATCTGATAATCGTTCCACCCTACTGGCCAGGTGCTCAAACCGCTCACGGTAGTCTGCTATTGATCCCTCCTGCACCAGAGCAAAGAACTGCTCATAAAAATCTCCGCCCCGATTGGTTTGGAAACATCATATTATGCAGTCCTTGAATTTCCTCCAGTTCCTGATAGGTCTCTTTTGGTCTCTCCACTAGTACCATGACAGCGCCTTCCCCTCTAAGCATAAGGCTGCCGCTGTCAGCTTCTCCTCCTCTGTTAGCCAATTGACGGCGAAGTACCTCTCCACCTTATAAATCCACCCATACGCATCCCTCCCGTTAAATATGAACATCTTCAGCTTCCTCACCTTTTTATCTCCCCCATTTTCCCTTTATTCCTCCATAAATTCCCCTTTCCCAACGCTCCCCATGTCTCCCGGTCTTCCCTTTCCTTGTCATAACCCAAACCCCCTTTGAATTCTCCTCTCCTTCCTTCAAATTCAGCACCTCGGCGGCCATAATGTCCCTCCCGGCGTTCCCAATCTGCATCTATTTGCTCTGTCCCTCCATACCCATGGCTTTCCCCATACCTACCTCCTCTATCCTCCCTCTGGTAATATAGGGTTTCCTTCTTTCTCCCTCCACGATCTCCATCTCATCTTCTTCCCTACGAATTTCAGAATTCGTGTTTTTCCCTTCCGTCCCTTTTGCAACGGAAGCCTCTGTTTGGTTGTGGATTTTCAACATTTTATTCATCATATCTCGGATATCGGCTACTTGTCCTTCCATGGAGGAAATCCTTTATTCCATCGTTGTCTTGATTTGGTTCGTCTCCCCTTCAAGTCTTTCTTCCAGCGCATCTACTTTCTTGGCCGCCATCTCTATTTGGATTTTTTTTAGATTAAAAAATTCTAGATTTGGATCACAAAAATAGTAGTTTTCTCCTTTCCAGGCCAAAAATCAGGCGCTAAAATTCTCCAAAAGTAGCCCACCAACTGGGCCAAGACTTGTTCTGATACCAATTTGATAGGAAATACTTGAGTTCGCAAGTAACCCTAAGGGGAATACTCGAGTTCACAAGCAAACCTATCACTAATTGGTGAAAACAGCGAGAATAATGCAAAATCTGGGTGAAATCAGCCCCAAAACAATGGACTGCAATAAGAGAATCAAAGCCAACAAACACGAAAACAAGATACAAGTGATTCTCAATTCGAGAGGAGGGTCGTCCCTCCGAAATCTCTGGACAAGATAGTCTAGAGCCCAAGACACCAAAGAACTTCAATAGAAATCAAATCAAGCATGCCCTAACCCTAAAACACATCATGTTATTTAATAAATATAACTTTCCAAATCAATTTTACCTCTCAAGCCCTAGCTGCCCCCTCTTCAAATTTTAAGTCGATTGGAATTGTGGGACTCACTATTGTGGGCGGCAAATATAGAGGCGGAACTTGCCGGCCTCCTATGCATAAGAATCGGCCCTGGGCGGGCTGGTTGGGCCGGTTCAAGAAGAACCGGCCTATCACAAACATCCTATGCTCGCTCTCTCGACTGCCTGTACACTCGGTCATCCATTCACCCTCAATCGGGTTAGCTGGTTGGGTCGGGTTGACTTGGGTTAGGGGCGGTTAGATCTGTGTCCGGATTTTTGACATATTTGTTTAATCGGGTCGGGTTCGAGTCTGTTTAGTTGAAGGCATGCCAGTTTTGGGTTGGATCCGAAGCTGACCTGAAAACCTATTTTGATACCTCTAGGAATGGGGGTGTGTTGCATTAAGTTTTAATTATTTTAAAGTTTTAATAAATCTGAATTAGTAGTATCAAATAATTAGTTTATTTACTTAAGAAATTAGTATTAGTTATGATTTAATTTAATTAAAAGCTATAGTGCTTAACCACTTTAATAAATTATCAAATTTTAATTAGAAAAGTATCTTATGATAACTGTGATTTTCCCATTCGAATTAAAAAATTATTAATAATTAACTATAAAAATTAGATGCAATTATGTAATTAAAAGAATTAATTAGCATACTAATAAATATTAGTTAATTGAAAAATATATACTAAAACAAATTGGTATTATTTGTGGTTTAATTTGGCTACATAAAAGTTATTGTCTAATTTACTCAAGAAATTTCTAATTTATATTTAATTAAGTTGTTATTTTACAGTAACTATAATTCAGTTATTCTAGTTAAAATTGATATAGATTAGCTATTAATTAAGAAATGAAAAACTAAACTAATGAAGCACTACTTCACTCTAAAAATACACGGTAGATATAAATTCACCCATGATTAGAACACCTAACAAGCTATACAAATGAAAGTGCAAAAAGATTTTACGAGGGTGGCACTACTTCACCACTATTTCCAAGCGAACAAATTTTCTTTTTGGAAAACCTTTAAGAAATTAAAAACTAGGCTAACAAAATTTTCTAAAAATAAAGAATAGTTTTAAAAGATCTGAGCTTCAAATTAGGCCAACTTGCATAAAAATTCCTCCAAGGAGGATTATGTCAATGTAAAGCTCAAGTGACAAGATTGAAGACATAAGGAAAAAGGAAATACAATTGCAAATGCTCAAACGCTTAAAAGAAGAACTAAGCTTGAAAAAACCCAGCCAGTTTTAATATTCATTTTTAAGTAATGGAAGTACTTTTAGCTCTAGAACCTTGAGAGGGGAATGAGGAAGAAGAACAGTTTGGGTAAGTGCATAGGATCTGATTAGGAAATTCTTTTAGGAAAAGCTGATGTTTGAAGTTATTATGTAATTTATTTAAAATATAAATGATGGAACTGTTAAATTTTCCTATGTATTTTATCTGTTTGCCCCAATAGTTACATCCATAAACATAATAAATTATTCCGTGCGGAGTCCGGACAATAAAGAACCGTTCGGATGTGAGTGTACACAGTGTGTACACTTGAGCTGTGTACACTTACATCCGGACGGTTCTTTACCGTCCGGACTCCGCACGGAATAATTTCTCCAGAAACATATTGTCCTGAACTCACCTTAATTGAATTTGGCTTACTTTGCAGCAGGTGAGCTTGAACTTCAACTCTGTTTCTACAGTTCCAGCTGCGGTAGGAAACTCATTATGGCCATTGATATGAGCAGCTTGAACTGGTGAGTGGAATTAACTCCTTTAACAATCTATCTCCCCAAACTGAATCTCACAGGTTGTTTTTTCATTTGTTAACAGTTGGATCTATCCATCTGATCCATCCGAGTTGAAGATAAAGGTTTGCGAGCCGCAGACAACTCTCCCATCATCCATTGTGAATAAGGCCATTGGTGCGGTTCGAAGCCTCGAGTGTGGCCATCTCATGATCCTTAGGTTATGCAGATCTGTTTCGCAGGTTATTCAGTTCTCTACCTGACCCCTTACGCTTCTCATGCTGGTATGTTTATGCGTCAGTGACTTGCTGGAATAGGTTGGACAGCCATTATATGAAGCAAAAAAAAAAAAAATCCCCTCATAGGTCAGGCTTATATTGTGTCTAATTCTTATTATGATGAGTTAATTAACATGTGAACATTTTTATGAGATTTATCTAAATATCTTATAATTCTTATATATTTAAATTTTGATATTTATTCATATAATTTTTTAATAATACTAAAATTTATATATGAAAATGTACTCCAGTAATAAGAGCTTTGCTTAGGAGCTTGTTAGTGAGTGGTTGGACTTCCAATCTTGGATGAGTATGATTTTGTTCCCTTGAAAAGTTATAGAGTTGTGTATATTATATATGTCAGTATAGTAGGGTGAAATTATTTTGTGGACGTCGAACGCCGTTTAGAGATCAGTTAAAATGCGTCATGTCATCTCCTAATGGGTACCATAGTTTGGTATTGAGTTCGGTACGGTTGGCATGACGTATTCTAATTGGTCTCCGGACAGTAAATTATGTTCCAGTATAGGAGTTCTAACAATATCCTTTAACAACTAAACATTAATCTTTACTTTTTTTGAGCCTATAATATAATGTAATTAGGGTATCTTTATTGACCAAGATGCTCTTAAACAATATCAAAGAAGTTATGGTTGTGACTAAAATGGTTTTAATTTATAATTTTTTTATTGATGGATGGTGTGGTTACCATGTTGGTAATGATATAGATGAGTGATTAGATGCGAGAAGTTTAGAATGAGGAAATTATTATTATTATAAGAAGCACTATCAAAAAGACCCTTTATGTGAAAGATAAGCTAGTCTTTATGAGTTCAATAAAATAGAGTTGTAAGTGAAAGGGCTAAAATCAGTAAGTTTACGGGGAATTGGCAAAGAATCGTTTGTTCTTTCCTCGGTCTATTTTATTAGTTAAAGTCTCTTACTGAGTTAGGGTTCATGAATTGTAATAGCCAGAATAACAATACAATCTTAAAGTGGCTTTCTTTCTAAAACATAATTTTCTGCATATATATAAAAAATAAGGGTATTCACGATGCTATTGGATAGAAGGGGTTATGATTTATGAAGGAAAGAGTTGGATCCCTAACAAGAGCCAGCTCGAGAGATGTTGAAGGGGAACAATTATTACGTCCTCCGATCGGACGTAGAGCTATGTCCGGTCGGAGTTAAAATCGCGTCAAAAAATGAGAAATACCGAGCAATACCAAACAATAACTAGGAATACCTTCATGTGAAGATCCAATACCGAGTTATACCGAGAAATACTGAGTTATACAAAAAAATACCAAGAAAATATCGAGTTTTTCTCAGTATTTTTTTGTATAACTCGGTATTGTTCGGTATAGCTCGGTATAACTCGGTATTGGGTCTTCACATGATGGTATTCCTCGTTATTACCAAATAATACCTAGCAATACCGAGCAAATACCGAGTTTTTTGGCGGGATTTTAGTGCCGACCGGACATTCTTCTACGTACGTTCACCGGACCAAATAAAAGTTCGTTGAAGGGACACCTCAGGATTCAGAAGAACGCATAGCAAATGGTGCGGTTAACATGAGATGAGATAGCCAGGTTTAAACCCATTAATCATGAGGACACAAACATAAACATAAACTTGAGATCAACATAACAAATGTAACAACAAAGTATATTCGTCTCCGTAGAGAAATTATTTTGTACGGAGTCTGGATGGGATGAACCTTCTGGAGTGTGAGTATATATATTATGTATATAATATTTATACATAATGTATATACTTATTTGATAAACATTGTGTATAAATATTTATAATGCGTATAGTGTACACACTCACATGTCCGAACGGTTCTTCCCTTCCGGATTCGATCCACACAGAATAATTTCTCGTCTCCAAGTTTTACCTTTTTTTAGAACTTATGAGCGGATTGTCATAAGCTTTTTGTTTTTTTGAAACATTTAGGTTAATTAAGATAAACTCATATGTACATCATAAACATCAAATTTGAACTCAATATCTTTTGATTGATAGTTAAAACCTCCAACTAATAAACTAAGATGAGACGCATAATTATAATAGTATATATATACAAATTTTCAGCTCAATACCTCTTAAGTAATAGCTTAAAGCCTTAAACAATCAACATATCAAGTGGGCTTCATCTCAGGGTTTCACTTATTTTACTTTTGGTTAATCATTTCTTCAGCAAAATCTTATGTTGAAACCAAAAAAAGATGTGAGTTCCAATGGAGGGATTATTATGTGCAGAATCTGGATCATGAGAATCATTAGATTTGTGATTATAAATATTAAAAACACAGTGATAAATATTAATTATATTTTTATTATTCACAGTCACATAAGTGAACCATTCTCTATAATTCAAATTATTCGGACTGATCATGTAGTAACCTCTCATGTCCCACAAGCGTCAATTTTTTGGCGAATTATTACATCCGGTCACCGGACGTCCGGACATCCAATCCAGATATGCCGCGTCACCAAAATATACTGGGATCAGTATATTTGGGTGATGTGTCACGTCTGAATTGGTGTCCAGACACCGGACATAATAATTTGCCCAATTTTTTAGGCCGTATGTTTTTTATATTTTATTACTGACGCGTGTCGTTGCAAACGGTGTGCGTGTTGAACATGCACATAGTCCATGCTCCAGCTGCCCTCACTGCGACAGAATTACCTCCTTCCTATATACAACCAGAACCGGTAGAAAGAGCAAGAAAATACTACTGCGTCGACAAAGAGAGAGCGATGCCGACCAACGGGAACGATGGCTTGAAGAACAAATACGGTGGCGTTGATGAGTCGAAGAGGCCGGCATCCGGCTCCGGCGAGGTGCTCCACCAGCGCCGGCGCCTGCCGCAGAGCCCTGCGGTGATGGCTGTCGGTGGCTTCGCCCTCATCGCCAGCATTGCGTATTTTACGCTCTACGCAAAGCCGAAGAAAGGTACCAGTCCTAACCAGATTGCTGCGGCTGTCGCCGGCGACGAACCCCCCCGTAAATGAACCTCCGGTTCTCCTTGTCGTTCTTTCTTAGATTTTTTTTCCTTTGAATTGTGTTACGGAGTAATAGAAATATGGAGTAAGGAAGATCTGATCTTCTATATGTGATTAGCAAGTGAAGAAGCTCAATATGCAATTTGGAAACTGTGAAACAAAAAGTTTAATAATGATTATGAAGAGTTTGTATCGCATACACAAAGATTCGAATCCAAGACCTTTTAGTTGATAAATTAAGCTCTCAATCAACCGGCCAAGATGAGCTGTGTATAAGGTTAATAATGATTATGAAGAGTTTGTATTGCATTAATTTTAAAATAAATTTAATGACTTTTACTCTTCATTTAGGATAGTTTTTTTACTATTTTTTAAATTAGGTTGCGAGTAAAAAAATTAATTTAAAAATTTTGTACTAAAAAATTATTTTAGAAAATAATATGAAAATTGTCCTAAATGAAAATTAAATTAATTTTGATATAATTTATATAAGATCTGATTATTTTGCTCATAATTAAGACAATGAAAAATGTTAAAAATGAAATGCTTTTTTTAATATATACCCTCAAATGAGGTGTCAAGAGGAAAAAAATTTCTTGTAAGAGTAAAATGAATAGCAGGATAAAATATTCTCTTGATTTATCAAAACAAAAAAAAAAACAAAAAAAAAAAAAAAAAAAAAAAAAAAACAAAAAAAAAAGATAACAAATTATTTAAAATCATATCTAGACGACATACATATCATTTCATCATATTCAATTTTTTAAGAAATCAAAGTTTTATCATGTAAACAATTGTTATATGGAAAGTTTTTTTTAGTATTTATATATATATATATATATCATGCAAAAATTATCTTGATCGGGCACGAATGTTAAGGCAAAATAAAGCCGCAAGCTTTAAAAATTAAATTCGGGATCACCTGTACTCCGATATCAACAAACTTACAGTCAAACTAAGTGTCTCGAAAATACGAACTCATTGACACCAAATTCGACTCAATCCGAGCCAAAATGAGTACAAATCAAGCACCCAAGCGTTGTTGGAAAGTTCAAACCATAATTTGAGTTACCAAACGGTTTTCAAATATGACGTTCTTATAATCGAATCGAGCACGAGACAAATCCAACGAGCCCAAGATCGTCAAATTCCGACATTATTAAAACCTTCAAATGTTTGACGAACGGTGCAAGATAAGGGGATTCAATATCGACCGTCCATCCGACCACTACCTATTTACACCTGATCTCTTACCTATTTACAAGTTATGTCACTCCAGAGTATCTATAAATACCCCTCATTTCTCATGAGAGGGAACCCAATCAAGAAGAAGAAGAAGAGAAGAGAAGGATAAGAGGGAATAACTCCTCCTCGACCACCGCCGGAGTTCTGCCTGACGCCCGAGTGACACCGGAATTCTTCCGAACACTCGAGCGACACCAGAATTCTGCCCAAGTGACGCCGGAATTCTGCCCGACACCAAAGTAACACTAGAATTTTGCCTGACGCCCAATTGACGCCGGAACTCTACCTGATTTTCAAGTGTTGTTGGAATTCTAAGCGATTTTGAATTTGGCTCGAATACACAACTTGTTTGCAATTGGATTTCAATCCAGAAGTGAAGCATTGTAATCTGATCATCCTAAATTTTAAGGACGAGTCAGCCTCTTTTACCTCAAACAAATATTAGTGGAATTATTTCAATTGGGCGTGACCCCGTGGTATTTTCCCTTTTCAGGGTTTTCCACATAAAAATTCTGGTGTTATTTCTCTCCTGTTTGTGTGCTAGATATCCGTACAACGCTGAGACAAAATTTTTTTAACTCTATCGCCGCGTATACTCTAGTCTGCAACACACACACACACACACACACACATATATATATATATATATATATATATATATATATATATATAAGATTTCGATTAGACCTTGTGGATCCAAAGAGAGTAACAACTTATCATGATTAGTATATCAAATGATTTGTTCTTGCCTATGTGTAAAAAGGAAGTTCATACAATGAGTATGAACATTACTATTATTGAGTTTTTTATGAAGATGATTTAGGCTTTGTTTTGAACGGCTTTTTTACTGTTTTTTGAAGGAATTTTTAGTTCAAAAAATTTTAGTTTAATTTTTGTACTAAAATGCTGTTTATAAAGCAATTTAAAAGTCGTACCTAATAAAATTTTAGTAAGTTATTTGTCATATTGGTGATTCTATTTAATTGTGATTGGTTAGGCATGATGGGAGGTTTTGATCGATGACTATTAGTTTCACCATAAGAAATGTTTTACTTTTGAGTTTTAATCTAATCATATTGTTAGAGTGATGCCCTTCTTCATCCTCCTTTTTTGCTTCATGTCTTAGCATCTCCCCATTTCTCCCTGCCAATCCCATTGCCTATGTCTCTCCCTGTCAATTTTGCATTCATTGCTAATTTATATTCTCTCTCTCTATCTCTCTCGATCTCTCAATCTCATCAGTCGAGACCGAGCTTCCTCTCTTCTCTTCTTCATGGGCTCATGTTCTTTTATGCCAACACAGACAAACTCCATTCTTCTAGCTCTTGAGGCTTTGTTTGTTTGAGCGTTATTTTGCCTTTTTCGTTTGGAAACGGAGGATTTTTTTTGTGTTGTTTGGTTCGTCAAATCACGTTTTCAATAACTCATTTTTTTCATTTTTCTGCAGTTTTGAGAAAGGTTTTTATATGTGCTTTTCCGTTAGAAAACTCCATTTTCTGAACTAATATTTTTTAAAACTGTCTTTTATAAAAGCACAAAAAAACAAACGAAGCCTGAATGACGTTTTTTAAATTCTAGAGGTTAATTGCTTTATATTTATGTCTATTTTTTGGGAAATTGAAGATTTTGCTAAGGCATATGACATATTAGTTTACTTGTAATGCCATTAATTCAACTTATATTGTAATGAATTTTATTTTCTTTTCCTTGGAATCTTTTCTTTCTTTTATGAATTACACATCAAAACCATACATTTCACATCATGATAAGTAGGTAGTTGGTAATTGGTTCGTGACTGCCCGGTTGTCTCTATTGGATCTCGTGGGAGGTCTCGTGGGAGGGGTAGACGGGGTAGGTAGTTTTCTTGATTTTTTGGCCCTCTTCTCTGGCTGGTTTTGTGGTGATTCAATCTAGTTTTATTGGTAGTGGATTCGCTGGGCTATGATGTGGCTGGGGCTCGTTTCTTCGTCGTCATGGCTAATGGTAACCTTTGGTGTTCGTTTCTTGCTAAGTTGGTTTGGCTGATCGGCTGCCTTGATTTTTTCGCGTTTATCTTCACCAAATTGGAGGGTATGTACTTGACTTCGAGGAAGCTGGGAGCCTCAGCATATAACTGAGTCATTCAGATTGAGTTCTTATTATTTTTTTCTTTTATTTTCTGTGTCACTAGCTACATTGCCTTCTGTACTTTTTTTTTTGTTAAAAAAAAGTAGGTAGTTGGATGATATGTTTATGAGTAAGTATAATAGTTATGTCAAATTAGGTAAATAATCATATTGATGTTGTAAATCTTGTTGATATACCAATTTGAAAAGCAATTGCCCCGTTGTAATACATGTTTTTGTTTCAATTTTAATTGCACAAGGCTTCGTTTGGAAGAGGATTTCTACTGTTTTCTAAAAATAACTTTTTAGTAAACAAATTTTTTATATGAAAAAAATTGTACAAAAAAGCTGTTTTAAAAAACAGGAAAGAAGTTGTTAAAGATAAAGTCGAAGATGTAAAACAAAATATGTTTAACGCAAAGATATTATGAAGAAAATAAATCAACCATAATATTTTATTAGATCTAAATAAGAATTTTACTCTTAATCGGATACAATGGAGAAAAATAATTAATGTAACCGATCCCACGTAGTAGAAAATCTCTATAAGGGAAAAGCCATGTGTCATGGACTAGTTAAAGTGATTATACTAGTGTTTTTTATCGACTACAAATGATGCCTTTTCTTGTAATTAGGAAAGTTATTGATATAATATAACAGACAAAAGATGTACAAAATGAATTTCATGGCGGGGTTGGAAAAGCGATGTGTGGGATAGGAGTTATTTTCTTCAATAGATCTTCGGTTGATGTTTTGTTATTCTCCTTGACGAGAGGATCAAGGAGATTAGAGAACAAGAAACTCAATATAAATTTTGGTGCTAACATTAGGAGTAAGAATTAGTATAAAAAATAAGCATCAAAATTTTGAAGTAAGAGATGGTGCTCGTCGATGTTATTGGTGATGCCAAATGATGAAGTGTTTGAAACTTTATGGGAGTGTGTAATCAAGTGTAATTATGTTTTTGAGAAAATTTAGAAGTATACTTTAGAATATTTAATTTTGAAGCCGGATATGTCATTATGAATGACACATCATCTCGGGAGTTGAATATAATGGGGTCATGCTGACTTTCGTAGTTAAATTCAAGATGAAACAACATATGATCCCAAAGGGTCAAAATAATGTTTAATCACATTTTTAGTTACGATAATCTAGATGTATTATCATTAATTTCATAATCGAAATCGTAACGATAAATGATATACCTTTCCAAGGATAGAAAATATCATTTATTGTTAACGATTTGAATATGATGATAATGATTGTCTTTGATTTTAATTTTTTTTTTAAGAATAATTTTTTCCCATCCTATTATGGGGTCTAATTTATGTAGAGTCTTCGAGATCTCCTACAAAGTCAAGCCTTTGTAGTTAATTATATCGTAAGAAGGTTAGACTTTCTACAAATACTCTCGATTAGAATAATTACATAACTTTATTTGAATTTTTCAAAAAGTGATATAAAAGGAGAGATGTTGAAAAATTTAAATGGTATTAGATCAAATTTGAGCACTTTAATTTGGAAGTCGAAGGACGAGAGGTAGGGGGCATTTTGAGATTCTGAAATGATTCATAAATGCCTCTATTGGTCCTATGTTAAGCTTTAAATTTTAGAGTTTATGTCCTGAAGCCTAAATCTAATTTGGATACTAGGAAGTAGTAGCTCGAACATATCTAATGCACATTGGACTTAAATTAGCCTATATTTGAAATACATCAATCACTTAGGCACTTTAAAACTTTGATCCCGGTCTCATAAAAGATGGGTAGACTTGTTGTTTAAGTTTTTGAGAGCTTTATTATATGTTTCAGCAAGGTAGGATATTCAACTTTAATATTACTTTTTCATCATCTTTAACTCTAACTGTTTCTCGGTTGGTCATCAGTCATATATATTATAATTATCATTTATCAATTAATCAGCTATTATTGCATGTGGCTTTGATTAAATCAATAAAGAGACATCACTCTCTATCCGTTAGTATAATCGATCATCAGTTACAGGCTACAATCGGGATAACAAAAAATCAACTTTAAAATAAAGCCCGTCGGCCCACTCTCCTACGTATGGTATTATATTTTAAGAGCAAACTCGTATTAATTTATAGTGTTAATAGTTAAAGTTTCATGCTTTGTTGAAATGCAGTTTAATGTATGAAATGCAACAAGAAATGCTTATATAATTTTAAGTTAAAAAATTATTCTAAAAAATAGAGAGAGAACTGTCCCAAACAAAACCTAAAACAATAAAATTTTCAACCACTGAGCCATAGTTTCCTTCAAACATTAAGAACTTAATTTATATATTATTAGCATTAACTATTAGATGGGAATATTAAATCTTCGTTTGGGATGACTTTTTTACTGTGTCTTAAAATTGCATTCTAGCTCAAAAAATTTAATTTTTATATTAAGAAGTTGTTTTAAGAAACATCTAGAATGTCATCCCAAACGAGGCCTTACGACACACACATCACATACATAAAGTTCTAACTCAAGACATCTTAATTGAAAGTAAAAACTCCCAACCAACAAACCAAAATGAGTTAAGCTTTGTTAAATAATAATAATAAAAAATAAAATATTTAACCTATCATTTTCTAGTTGACTGCAACATGATCTGAGCCCAAATCAAAATACTCGAGCTGGAATTAAGAAAGAAGTGCTCCAACGCTTGCCGTTATCATCAATACTTAGGCTTGGTTTGTTTGCTCGTTCCCTGTGCTTTTTTGGTTTCAAAACAACAAATTTTATTTTTTTGCCGTTTGAATGTGCCGCACGCTTTTTCCAAAACTCCATTTTCTTACTGTTTTGAGAAGCGATATTTTAACTTTTTCCGTTTAAAAACTCCATTTCCTCTAATGATGTTTTTTTTGAAACGGAGAAGTTCAAAAAACCAAACCAAGCCTTAGAAGGAGTTTATTGTCGAGCTGGACTGATAACGAAGCAAATCAAATGAGATGGTTAAAAATAATAAGAATATAATGAATCACTTCTATATTTTTTCCTCCAAAATGTGACGCGTTCAATACATTCCACCTGTAACCAAGCCGCTAAGTCTTTGACCACTCTTGCATCATAATAATAATAATAATAATAATGTTTGAGTTCAAAAATATTACTAATATTAATTCATTTAAAAGAACAAATATAATTTTATACATATATTTTGTTGTGATTTAAATATTAAAATGATATATAAATATAAATATTTGAGCATTAGATATGTAAATATATAATAATTTTATGATACATAGGTGAATTCCCTTGGGGGATGTTTGGTATCCCTTTCTGGTTCATTTTTGAGGTAAATCATTCTCGCCAGTTTTGAGGGAGAACCATTTACATTGCTCTAAAGCTTGCTTGACCACCGCCAGCAGCCATTGTCTCCACCGCCACCGTACACCATCTGCCACTGCCCCACTGCCTCTGACCACCACAACCAACGCCTGCTACCACCATCCAACGTCGGTCGTCATCCACCTCAGGCACAACCATTTTCCATTTTACATTGCATTTACTTTACTTCAAACCAAACAAAAAAAATTTAAGTCTCTCATTCCTTTTACACATCCAAACAACTTCAAAGTATTCAGTTTACATTGCATTTTTTTTTGCATTGCATTCTTTTTCCAGGCAACCAAACAGCTCCTTAATAAATTACCTTATTAAAAGTTAGAACAAATTATGGGAATATATAAACATTGTTTAAGCTTCACATAGAGAAATGATCTTCAAGTAGAACGATTTATAGCTCTTTATTCCTGACAGCCCAATGGGAAGAGTCCTCTTCCAATTTAAACGCTTAAGGTGCCACAAACATTCACTTAAAGCAATGCATCCAATGCCTTCTAAAGCCCCTGGATCGTTTTCTGCTCTTTGCTCTACAAATGTTCTCATCTTCATCACTACTAAGCTTCCACTCTTCAAATCAGTAATTCTGTAAGCTCCCTATTTCAAATCTAATGATAGTTTGGATGACCATTTGATCCTAGCTGAATTTGGAGTTGAAGTTTCTTAAGCAGCTAAGGATCATCAAAAGGGATAACGTTTGTTTTCGTCTCATTTCCCATTCAAACTCAGACCATTAACTTAACGAAGGAGCCAAATATAAAATTTATTGCCACAAACATGAGGTGCTCCCAAGAGAACTTTTGGATTCGTTTGGAATGACTTTCTTACTGTTTCTTAAAATAATTTTTTAGTTCAAAAAATAAAAATTATGTACTAAAAAACTGCTTTATGAAAGAGTAAGAAAGTTATCCCAAACAAAGCCTTGGTTAACATAAATTAAAGCTAACAAAAGTATCATTAAAGGGACGCAGAGACTAAGGAATAAGGATCTATTTGGGAAAACTTTTTCGCTGCTTTATTTTCCAGATATCAACTATAATTTTACTGGACTATTCCTCTTTTGCTGCTTCTAGAAATTTCTATAATGGAAAATTTTTTTTTTTAAATCAGAGCAGCCAAGTTACTCTTTCCAAAACAACTTCACAACTACTTTTATACAAAACTACAGTCATCCCAAACACAAGAGTTCTAGATTAAACTCAACTGTCCAAAGCCGTCCAAAGTGGAATGTGATGTACAGTTGCCACTACAAATGCAGAGGATGTAATCCTTTTGACAACTTAGTCCATCGTGGTTCTGGCTAAGAAGGTGGCATTTAGCAAACAGGAATCCATTTCTTATTAACAAAGTGATGGCCCCATCATAACTTTCTATTGGGAGGAAGTTTCCTGTTCACAGGACAGCAGGTCTACCTACCAAATAGCTAATTCGACTTTAGGAACTTCAGAAAGTATAGTCCACAATATAAGATTCAAGCAATCCTCACGTAGCATACATACTCTTCAATAGGTTTGTTCAAAATGTTTTAGGTGTTGAAGACCTCTTAAGTACAAAGAAAAACAGAACAGCAAGTGAATAAGAATCACAGGAGGTGAAAAAAAAAGAAGCAATATTTCCAATCCAATCAGGCTTCATTTGGGACAGCTTTCTTTTTATTTTTTAAAGCAATTTTTTGACATAAAAATTTCTAATTCAAAATTGTTTTTACTTGAAAGCTAATTCAGAAAACAAGATAAAAGCTGTCACTAATCAAGCCTAAGGCTTCGTTTGGGATGGCTTTCTTACTGCTTCTTAAAACAATTTTTTAGTATATAAATTAAATATTTTTATTAAAAAACTGGTTTAAGAAGTAATAAGAAAACCGTCCCAAACGAAGCCTAAATCTACTCTTTAAAGATGACAAATCGAATAACAGAAAGCATCCAGATTAATTAAAAACAATATTTCTTCAACAAATTCTAGAAAATTTACAGATCGGTACTAAATTTTCAAAAAACTGGCATATAGTTCAAACCTAGAAGAAATAACCATGAATTAAAAAAAAAATTATGCCCAACAACTGCATTCAGAATTTGGACCTACAAATACTGGCTATCTATCCTCTGTGAATTGCAAAAGAATCCTATCCATTGGTAACTGAAAACTAAGCCAACTACCATATCGTTTATGAAAAACTCATAACCATATCATGATCTATAGCAAAACAAAGGCATAAAGGTAATGCCATGATGAAGAATGAAACTACTATGAATCAGCTAAAAATACCTGCATGGCTGTGATAAGGGGAGATATTACAGTGCCGATAACCTTTCTACCGGCAGAATCGTAATCTGTCAGGCTTCCTCTATAAACAAAATTCCTGCAGCTGAAGCATTTGTGGTGTATATAAAATGTATAGAATAAAATACACAGCCTATCATCTAATTGGTTCAAGTTGTACTTCCATTCTCGTGGACGACACATATTCTGGCGCGGTGGATGTTCTCTTGCGATGCAATAGGTCCACCGAATCTTCTTCTTCATCATCATCATTACCCAAAACCCAATTACCTCTTAAAGAGTTCTTCTCTTTTCTCCTCCGTTGTACTTCCAGATACTCGAGATACAAAACAAGAAGAGAAACAAGAAGAAACCATATTATCAAGGCCCATGTAAGCCCCTCAACATTCTCACTGTCGTATCTGTTTCCAAGATGCTTCATCCCAGTAAAGAGAGCCACAATTCCAGCAAGAATCGCAAACCTACCAGTAATGGCATGAAAGAATTCCCAAATGACCCTCCTTGGCGAGGGAGCCTCTCCATTAGCTGGCCTCTTAGGCCTCAAATACGCATTTACTGGTTGTATACAAGCCAAAACAATGGCGGAAACCCCAAATTTGACATGTGCGGAACCGATATAAAACCCACGCAGTTCAGCTGCAGCAAAGAGAACACCAAGCAAGACTATAGCTATGCCTGAGTACTGTAGGTAGACGTGAATCTGATACCAACTGTCACCTTTAACATGTTTTAAGTACCTTGCAGCCAATATCCCTCCTGGGAGTAAGATGCCCCAAGCAATAAACATCATGAAGCCATGAACAGCAAGAACAGGGCGCAAATCCTGCTCTGCCTCTGCTGAACCGCGAAGAAGCAAGACACGCACTGGCTTCCTGCTAGTTACAGAATGCATGTTCTTCTCACTTAAGTGGTCTGCAGACCATCGAGCACCCATAGCCCATATTACTTTTAATGGCGTAGTTGGATCAATAATATTCTTACACTCAACCCTTCCATTACAAGAAGGATTGAGAGGTCGAGTAAATTCAAAAGTTATGATGCCATTTTCTGATCTGCATCTCACATTGGATATGTTCTCGGAAGTTGGACGAACACTTGATGCATCTTTTCCATCAATCCAGTAGGTATTAACGTGCCCTATCCCAAAATCGTCTATCCAACCAATATATGCATAGCTGTTGATCATCCCACTCCCAAACCCAATTGCAAGGTAACTACTTTTTTTCTCACCTCGAGCTGCAATAGTTATGGAATCAGGAGATAGAGTCCAAAACAATGTTACCTGCTGATCATCCAGCAAAACACTGTTGTTGTACATATCAGATAGTCCACCATCAACCACCTGAACTTTCCAGCCCATTTTCTGCTCAAAAAATGACTGGTAATAAACTTGGTCTGGAGTATTCCTGTCAGGAGCCCAGATTAACTCCTTTGGACTGGCTGGAACACCTTCGGCGTCAACTCCGCCAGCATAGATGGTCTCCGACACGTTACGAGAAGTTGCGTTGCCCCCAATAGGATCTGATGTAATGTAAAGCGCCAAATCATGACCGCCTTGTATTGAAAATGTTACTGGAACACCCCTTTCTACTCTTAGATGAGGAGCCTCCTTCTTGTTGATGTAAATCACTTTTGCTGGGTTTGGAGGATTAGGGTAGTGTAGTGCAGGGCCTGATGTCACAATCAGCGGCGTCTTCCCATCAGAAATGATCAGATCCTGGTCATCCTTGTCCTCTGCATCCAATGGCCCAGCGCATTGATTGACCTCCTTTGACAAATTAAGGGTAAAGAAGCCATAAGTGGTGAACTTTGGACCGCCATGATTCTGGGGAAGGTAGTAAGGACGGAGAGTATCTGGTGGTCTGATCAGACCCAGAGCCCAAATCACGGTCATATTATCAGTTTTGTTCACATGAACGTCATACTTCTCATCCTTTGAAACAATGGAACGCTCATACCTCACAAAAGCAATGCCATCCCGCCGGTGCCCGTAGACCAATTTGGTGTTGTTTACCAATCCAACAGGATCCGAGCCCTCATAGATGGTGTCTGGGCAGACACCCTCAACCTTCCCATCCTTGTTAAGAAGACACTCACTGTACTCAGTGATGAAATAGTCCTCTGCAAAAGGAATTCCCTCCTCACTAAACCCAGCTACAACAACATCAGCATGCATCATGGTAGGGGATGCTGCGCCAGGATCCGCCCACCCGAATGCCATGTAGTACTGCGTGCCAATGGCAGCTTCAAGGCCAATGGCAATAGAGTTGGATTCCGGAAGAAGTGTCCATCTGAGACGGTAACTAGGCGACAAAGCCAGGCAATTATCGAACATCGTGGGTTGGCTGTAGGCGGGTCTCCTGCTTATTGGTGGAGCATCAAATTGATCAGAGATCGGCGAGGGAGCAGGGGAAGGATCAGGAATCGGTGCGAGTAAATCAGAGTGGTTTGAACCGAGTAAGAGGTGACCGAAATCGGAGGCTGTAGGCTCGTCCCACACGGCGAGAACGGACATCTGGTCCCAGGTGACGTCGGGGAGCAGGCGTACGGTAAATGACTCATTGCGATAGGTGTGGTTGAGATTCATGTCGGAGATCTCGAAGCCGGAGGTGAGGTTGTGGAAGGAGTCGCCAGAGGCGCCCCACCACCGCACACGATCAGATCCAGGTAGCATGTCGAATTGGCTGACGGAGAACGAGCAGCCGTCGAGGATGCGGACGACGCCGCGGAGCTGGTGCTGAACCATGGCGAGGTCGGAACTGAAGCCGGCGAGGGTGGTGTTCTCCTTGCAGATGGAGGCTATAGAAAAAGGAATCAAGAAGCAAAGTAGGAGGAGGGACCATGGTCGATCCTCCATTGAGCCACCTTCGACAGACGCAGATTAGCAGAGAATAGCAGGATTCCAATACTTCGATCGGATCGGTATCGAAAGATATTTGGGCGGTGATGCGGCCGAAGTTAGGGTTAGGGTTTCGAAAGGTAAGTAACGTGAGAAATACTGCACGCGGAGGGCATATTCGCGGAGCCTGCTTTGGGTGGAGGCGACGCCGAGCCTTCCTTCGATGGCGAGCGGGCAGAGGAGGACAATTCTATGAAATACTCGCAACTTAATAGGATTACAAGTAAAATAACACTTTTCTACGATTCCATTGATTACTATTAGCCGTGAAGTAAGACTTCAACCTCCAAATTCAATGTGTTGAAGAACAAATTTTTTTTTTATTGTGTATGCAAAAGAAAATTGATATCTAAATTTTGATCTAGTATTTAGAAAAAAATTTTATTTAAATTTAGAACTATTTGAACTCCAATTTTAGTTCATTGAGTTCATATCAATGAATTGAAGCGTGATTGAAAATTGTATGACACTAATTAAAGAATCAAACAATTTATAAATCTTATATGCTTATAGTTAAAATGAGTGTTTAGATGAAAGGAGTTCAATGAATCCAATAAAACTCAATTTTTAGGCCATTAAAACACTCTAGTGCTGAGAGACATCTATGATCAAGAAAATTAATATAAGTCATCTAATGGATGTTTTTGAGATTTCAGCTAAATTTATTAAAATGTCGTTTCAGAAAACTATAAATTGACTCACATTCTCCATATGAAGGTGGAGTGGGGGAGCATGGACTTGGACTCAATTTTAAAAAGTTAAGAGATTTAAAGAACTCTAAAGCTCTGCCTGACATTCAAAGTCAAAAATCACCACCAGTAACTATCCTTGCCAAACTTTCATCTCTCAGCCGTTATTATCAAACTACCATGCGGTTGTAAGAGAATACATGGTAGTGAGTGGAGCTTTAGTGGAATAGTAATAATATTATATTAGGAGATGTCTTAAGCATTAAAAATTGTAGCCATTCCTTCAATTATTTCCCTCCGCATTCACAACATTCTCCTGGCAATCGAAGCAACTTTGATCTTCTGATCATCATTGCCTAACTATAATCTCCCGATCACTATCGCTCAACTATTATCTCATGTTGACTTTCTCGATGAAATGCCATCATCTCTAATACAGAGGTAATATGTTAACACAAAAATTAATGCATGTCATTTTATCGCCCACAATCACCACCAATGTTGGTACTCATCATCGCCTATAAGGCTGATGAATGTCATTTTATGTCATTGACACAAAACCTGATGTTCGTCGACTTTGTTACCTGCCATTACTAACAATATTAATGCGCACATCATCACTAATAAGGTCGTTTCACTAGTTTCACACTAACTCAAACTCCTGACATCAATATAAAGATTTATAATTGATTTATTGGCCTCTAATCTCCTCTCATCAAATGAGAATAAACAAACAAACCATAAATGATCCCATAAAAATACCTCTTATAATAACACTTATTTTGACCTAATGAAATAAAATTTTCAGGTGTCGTTAAAATTCCAAATCACAAATCATTTTCACCATATAATAGATATTGTAATGCTTTAATTACACTAATGTTTTCATAATTTTTGGGCATTTGTCTAAATCCTTACAAAATTGATACTTGTTAGTACAGGTGGAGGTTTGGGAACTGTTAGGTACTTAGGTGTCCATTTTGCAAATCGATTTCGTCAAAAATTTTTAAATAAATTGAACTATTTTATGGATATTTTTTAAATAATTTTTAATGCCCCAAAATAATTTATATAAATTTTATATTGAAAATTAATTATATTATTATTTATTTATAAATATCTTAAGCAACTTAACATAACTTTATTTAATTCCATTCCCAAGTCCTAAAATTAGTTACTAGAGAAGGAATTAGGAAAAATAAGAAAGAATGTGAGGAGAGAGAAATGGAAACCTAGGATTTTGAGCCGTAGAGTGATTTTAGTCAGTCGAGAGAATTTCTTGTCTCATTATAAGGAGCCATTATCTTATTTTTATTTCAATAATTTGATGTTTTTGGGATCATTTCAATCAAATTTGTTTTTTATTACAAAAAATATTTTTTTGTACTCAGAACAGAATAATTGTGATATAATTGTATAGATCTTGAGTAGTGTACATGTTTTTTTTTTAAATGAATATATATATATATATATTGTTTACACTAGAATTTATATTGATAATAAAAAAAGATAGCTCTAGTTGTCGTATATTTAAAAATAAAAGAATAATTCTTTCAAGCTTCTGGGGCATCACAAATTTGGTATCAGAGCAGTATTGTTAAATGAATTCATTATTACTAGAGTTGTAGGAATTGATTATAAGTAGAGTATTAATGTTTATTATTTTGAATACATAATTGACTGCATGTGTGAATTATTTAGATTAAAAAAATTATGCAAGTAAATAATTAAAATAGATTTATTAGAGCCAAAAGAGCAACACAATCTAGCTTTAATGCCATCGGATGGTGTGATTTAATTGGCGCATAGTATGGCACAAGTAATGGGAGATGTAGAGAGCAAATTAGTTAGGAGAAAATAAGATGAGGGTGACAAGTACTTGCATATATTCCATAATTAAAGCCTATATTATTCAAAGGAGCTACATGATCTCAGGCTACAAAAGATTGATTACTCAAGTAAAAAAAAATATTTGACAATATGTAGAGTCTGAAAAGCAAGAAAATACCATTGGATGTGTTCCTCTTTGAAGGAGAGTTCGAGAGATAGTGGGTTGGATAACAAAGAGGGAAATTTTAAGGGAAGATAAATATTGAGATCTCTTCGGATGAGTTTATTGTAGTATTCGCAATATAGTTTGTGCTTTGTACCTCCTTTAACATGAAGATAGATGTAGGAAGCTTTATCAAGTTAGAGTGTGGATACAAGATATTGATGCAATATAAGCTGAGTTTACTACTCAAGGGATACTCTTCACTTGATCCATATTTTTGAAGAAAAGTGCTATAAAATTTTGTAGGGGTTAAACAGAAAGCTGAGATGTCTGTTAGTACCTTTATAGATTCAAGAGTTTTCTTAGTTGGTAGAGTGGGTTAGACTGATAAAGATTGATTTAACAGTACTAGTATTCAGACATGAGGTGAGCTTAAGATATAATGCCAATAAGAGGAGTAAATATGAAGCAAGTAGGGATAAAGATAGAGATAGTGATAATAAAAGTTGATATAAAGATTCGAGGGGATCTAAATCGATAACATCTACTGGCAGTTATAGCGAGTGTATTCATTATGGTCGACGACGTTAGAGTTAGTGCTAGTTGTTCACGATGCGATGTTTTCGCTATGGACAACAAAGACATAAGATAGTAGATTGTCCTCAGAGGGAATTTAGATGAAGGACTAATTTTGGTGCAAGATAATCCAGATAAGCTAAAGAATAGAATGAAAGATGAACAAATAAGGTGAATGATAGAGTTGTCAATGGTAGTCAGAGGGACATTAATACACCATGATCGACTGCACCTACTCCAGTGATGTCATGTGTGTATAACTTACAGTATCTAGAAGACTAATAATAACCTAAAAGTTTTACTAATAAAAATTTAATTTGCATGATTGAATGACATAATATAACATACATAATTGAATGAGTTATATGATTGTATTTTTTATGAGTTTTGATTTAAGTTTTGATGTTATGAATTTGGTTTATATCAATTTTGTGCTTGAATTGTTAAGGAAAATGTGAAGAACACCATTTTTTAAGATTGATAGATTGCAATAACCTATATTTTGATATAGTGAAATGGATTTTTTTTTTCATGAGTCATTATAAGTTTAAATCACAAACCATCTTCACCATAGCATATATATTATAATATTTTAATTACACTAATTTTTTCATATATTTTGGGTATAAGTCCAAATCCTTAAAAAATCAACACATATTAGTATAAGTATGGAATTGAGACCGTTAGATATCTATTTTGTAAACTTATTCCACCAAAAAATTTTAAATAAATTGGGCTATTTTATGGATATATTTTTTATAATTTTTAAAGCCATAAAATAATTTATATACATTTTATACTAAAAATTAATTAAATTATATAATTATATTATTATTTATTTATAAATATATTAAGCCACTTAACATAGCTTTATTAAATTCCATTCCTAATTCCTAAAAACGGCTAACATAGAATGAATTAGGAAAAATAAGATACAAATTGACCCAATTATGCATTATTTACTATAATACATTAGAAATAAATGTGGGTATGTGATTGAGTAATAGTTAGTCACTATTACTGCTGTAGTTATGTGATAATAATTTGTATGTGTGTGAGGGGATAAGTAAAGACTAGTTATTCATTTACATTGGCTGAAGATTGATTAACTTGTACATGATGTTGGGTCGACAGATTTTTCTTTAAATACGATGATTTATTGTTATCTTCTACTAGTTCATGTGATACTAATTGAGAGTTAAAAAGAGATGATTATTATGTCGATTGACATAAAGTGACGACTCTATTTTCTTAGTTAACAATGTATTCATAATGATATGATACTGGAAAAAATATCGATTAAACCATAACTTCTTTCTTATTTAGTGTGACTGCTAAAATACATATTATTGAAGCATTATTTTTATTAATATACAATTTTTTTATTATTGCACAGATTTATTATTACTATATTATTTTATTGCTCATGCTACCAATTAATTGTTATCGATACGGAAATTGATACTAGTTGATATTATTGACTCACTGCATTGATACTAAGTATATGACACACTAAGTATGTAATATAGTGAACATGCATGTGACATATTGGACATCATGTATAGGCTATTCTAGGGTTTTAATGTATTGATATGATTCTGATAATTTTTATTAAGGCTTTAGTTTTATTGATTATATGATTTCTTTGTTGATTAATATTATATATTGCTGATTCATTAGCTACTTTATTAATCTGAAACCCATACTGGTTTATTAGTTTTTCCACTATATTATTTTATGATTTATAGAATTTATTATTACTATCTACTACATGTGAGTTTTATTATATATGTACAAATTCATAATCATATTAATATTACTATTATGATTTAATTATTAACATGCATATTACTCATTTGTCATACTTTGAGTTCAGTTATGGGATTTATTTACTTGTTGAACTTTTGAGCTCATTGTATGTGATTAAATAATTTTAGATTATGGCAAGAATGCA